AGTGAAGGGTGGTTGAAGACTGAAATTGATTCACTTTTGAAGCTCGATTCGCAATACTCATATCAATTAGCTGGCTTGCACTGGCCTAGCCAGCGGACTGGCGTCAATGAAGGCTGAAACAGTGCGAACGGAAACGCCAGCATTGTGGCCAACAACGTTACAAGCGTTCGATGACAGCCTGGCCAATCCAGCTAATGTCAATATGATTTTACTCTTCTTATGAAACCAATCAAAGAGCTTCGAACTCCTGCTGACCAAGAGTTGTTCAGAGGAATCGTGAACAGGTTTATGATATCAAACTGGTGAATGCTAATCATTGACATCTTTCGGCCTTCTAAATACCTACTTGAGCGCTTCATTAAGTTGATCTCGACCATCTTTAGTCAGTATCAGACGTTGTATGTGTTTAAAGGCTGCTTTCACTTTATCGTGACAGGTTTTGTCTGTTTCCAGCAGAACGTCTTGGACAACCATACTATATTCTGAAATCGACGATTCGTCAGAACTGATTCATAAAATTCATCAAAGCATTATTTTGATATGGCCTATTCATAAAGTAACGATGCATCAATCAAGCGAAACTTTAAAAAATTCAAAATTTAGCCTCTTGAACTGACCGTAAAAATCAAGCTTGAGGTTCACAGGTGCTGAACTTGCGACGGAACCAACGGTGAGTTCAGGGTACTTAGCACGGAACCATGCCGCTAACGAACCTGCAAAGTTTACACTCTAATGCAACCATTTTAGGAATCGATCGGTATGCACAGATCATCGTTAGGAGGCTCTAATAGTGTCACACTGCTGCTAGAATCAATTGCAATGAATGGGCTAGGTAATGTAACAGTGGATGAATGAATGCGACACCTGGATATGAGCCACCAAATGTTACCCATTTCGGACTCGGGAACTTATATTTCTCATTCATTTGACGGATGAATTCAGCGAGATCGGCAAGCGCTTGTTCTGTAGTGCAATAGGCAAGCGCCTCGGTGGTCATCTCCCTATAACGTACAATTTTCCAGTTCTATCTTTCGATTGCTGCGTTTAACTTATGTAATCGAACTTTTTCGAACCCAAGAGAAAACGCATTGGTGACAAGCTTCAAAATCACAAAATTTGTGATTTCGTATGCGAGTTGAGCTAGACTGCCACGGAATTGCTGCTCTTTGTGCTGTTTACGGCGATAACGTGAATTTAGTCGTTGCAGTTGTGCAATTTGTTAGACGAGAATGTAAAACATGAATTTCGCTGAGCTTCTCACAGAAAGCAACTCACGGAAACGGTCTGCTGTGACCGAAGAAACGATGCTCCACTTGAAATGCAGCAGCGCCGAACTTTCTCGCCCATTTCATCATTGAAACATTCTCGTTTGCCACCCATTTCACCGGAATGATCGACTCTCCACCGATCATTACAAACACCACTCCCAGGTTCTGATAGAACTGTGGATTGTATTGGACACGCTAAAA